CCTCACGAGCGGCGAGTAGGCAGCGGCTTGGCTTGGCCCCTGGCATTGCTGAAGTCCATGGGCGACGGTAACCACTCATCATCAGGTGGGCCGTATGCTCGTCTGCCTCCAAGAACAATAAAAAAAAAGAGCTCTTCCACAATACTAAATATTTTAATACCCAATTCACTAATTTTAATGATAAATCAGACTCGACTACTGAATAAAATTTCTCAATGAACCCATAATATGTAGTTACCGGATCAGATAAAAAAAGACTTACCGGAAAATTGTAAGTCACGTTACTCCTTATTGCATAAATATATTCATTTATATGCTTAACGGATCCGACGAAAATGAATGGCCTTAAAAGGAATCTCAGGTGAATTTTACTTTTATGATACGATATTAATGCGAAATCATATTAAGCGGAAATGAGAGTAAGGCAGAAAACGTAATACTTTGTGGATTAAAATACGAGTTATCCACGTGAAGACTCGGGGTTATAAATTCAAGATATAATTTCCACTTTGGGGTTCGGAAACGACCTTATAAATGGTGAATAATAAGATGAAACGTCACTTTGTTCGATTTTCGGTGCTCATTATAATTTATTTAGCACCATAATAAATTGATTTATCCATCTGCTGTTTCGTTAATAATATTACCGAATAGGAAAAGTAGGAAATCCAGCTCCATTTAAGATTTAAAATTCAATTTGAGCAGTATACTTTTCGTGCAAATTATTGGTAGCGGTCTTGTCAATGTAACATAAAAGGTATCACCGGTTCTAAGTTGGCTATAGAGTAGCCATGCTTTCTAATTGACAGGGCAGGATAGTTTTTATTAGAACGTTTTCTCAAGCATTTTTGACACGGAAAATGTTTGTTTTATAGCACTAGATTGGTGGCTCATGTCCTTACTGTTGTAAGTAGTTAGAGGTTCAGAGACGTTGTAACGTAATTACCATATCTAGATATGAGGTTGAATTCTCAGACCGATTTGTGTAAAGCACCAAGTAAGAAATATTTAATCTTTTTTTTTGAAAACAATTCTCAATAAGTAGATATTCTTTAACAAAAACCGGCTCCAAATAAAAAAAAAGATATTCCAAAACAAATTAATATACACTAAAAACAATAATCATCGAAATCGGTTGACGTGATATTGAGTTATTCATTTATTTGTCGCGCACGTACTTAATGCAAATTTAAGACTTATATGGTTTTCTCATGGATAGTATTCTCAGAACTGGACTAAATTGAAATGAGACACACGGGAAGCGTCAAGTTTCTAATAAAAAAAGAATCATCAAAATTGATTCACCCATTCAAAACTTATTAGGTAACAAGCATAAAAAAACATACAGTCGAATTGAGAACTCCTCCTTTTTTGAAGTCAGTTTAAAAACTGACTTCAGTATCATATTAAATGGAAAACTATTATCTATATATTAATACGTGAAGCAAAAACTTTGTATCCCTTTTTACGAAAATTGCGCGGACGGAGGAGTATGAAATTTTCCACACTTATAGAGAATATAGAGAAGAAGTGCACAATGTTAATATTTTTTTTAAAATAATGCATAAAAGATACATTAAATCAATAAAGAAAACATTACACACACTACATACCATGTATTTGACGCACACGCATGCCTACTATTTACTGTCAAACTTTTGTTCTTACGTCTGTTGTCAAATTGAGATTAAATATTGTTTGTCTTTGTTAATATTTTTATAGTGTAGTTTTGGCGAAATTTGTGATTAAAGAAGTATAAAATAGAATCACAATAGTGTACAAACTTACAATTCCAATTAATTATAGTCGAATTTCGACTACTGCGGGACCTCTAGTATACATAAATATGCATAAATGAGAAAACAAAAACAGTGCATTTTAATTATTTAAATTTAGTTGGAAACGAGTGTGAAGCATGCAAATACTATAGAAAGATTTGAAAATAATGAAGCTTACTCACTGGTGGTAGGACCTCTTGTGAGTTCGCACGGGTAGGTACCACCACTCCGCCTATTTCTACCGTGAAGCAGTAATGCATTTCGGTTTGAAGCGTGGGGTAGCCGTTGCAACTATACATGAGACCTTTGAACTTATATCTCAAGGTGGGTAGCGTATTTACGTTGTAGATGTCTCTGGGTCTATCCAGTAACCACTTAATACCAGGTGGGCTGTGAGCTCATCCACCCATCTAAGAAATAAAAAATAAAAAAAGCTTGAGAGGTATTTTAAATTTTGCAATAGACAGATGGCATTGAGTAGACGTATACAACGAAGGCATGGTGAGGGCAAAATGATGCATTTTTCGCGAACTACTTTCTCTTTACCCAGGTCGGTCAAATAGAATATGAGAACAAGGTCTTAATTGTATTGCAGAATTGTTGCTTTGCACTTCAAACTGTAATGTATAGTTGCTTTCAACAATCCAATAGAGTGGCATTTCTCAATATGAGTAGTCTAGGCGTCTTATTCTTTGGGCACATGTGAATTTACATTTTTTTTATTGCCCTTGTAGGCAAATTAGCACACGGCCCACCTGATGGTGAGTAGTTACAGTCGCCCATAGACTTCAGCAATGCCAGGGGCAGAGCCAAGCCGCTGCCTACCGCTTCATACTCTCCACAAGCTTCGTTTGAAGAAGGACATGCCAAAGCGCTCGGGAAACACTGTGTAGGGGAGTTCATTCCATAGCCAGATGGAAAGTGGCAGAAAAGACAAAAAATACCTCTGGAAACGCACTGTGGATGACCGCAGTGGCTCCAGGTAGTATGGAGGAGCTCTACTCCGGTGGCGGGCGGTGCGATTGATCTATCGTTGCTAACTATGAATTATTAATTATAGACTCAACTTCAATTTCTCTTATCGATATCTATCTTGAGGAAACCGTGTTGCTTGTTTTTCACTCACAATTTTACTAAGCCTGTTAATCCAACATTATCAGTTATTATTCTGGTAACTCTTATGTTTTATGTTTAAAAAAAAACAATATAAAATTTTACAGTCTAAAAGTCTAAAAGAATATATCTAGTTTATGATCTAAACGATCTTTATACGTACATTTACGATTTAATAAAGCGAAACAGCGAGGTCTGAAGTAATAAAAGACATTTAAACTTTCATCCGGGGCAATGTTTCCGACAAATCGACTTCTTTTTACGGTTCATTAGTTTTTATATATATCCTATAGTTGTAAACATTCGGTGATCTAAGGGCTTGAACAGATTCAATAGTCACGTATGTTTCTGAACAAAAGTGATAAGTTCGGAACTGGGAATGTATTTTGATTTAACTTTTCCGCGGGCAAGCCTAATGCTTGTACTGGCACTAATAATAATTGTACCAGCCATCCATTCGTCTATACGGCCGACTTCAACAACATATTAGAAAGTTTTAATTATTAGTATCTTAGTCTTGTGGAACTGCAACAACAATTTTATTATACCACCAAACAAAAATTACAATCATACTCTTATGCTCTTAAGCCCTATTCACTAATTGTTTCGGTTTATTTACTGGAATGTTCGAGAATCACTCAGGACCTGTGTTAATAGCCCCTTTAATGATTTTTGACCACTTTTCATATTAGATTGGATTTTATATAATGAATGACCTTATTTGAACGACCTTTACGTCATGGTTAGGAATGACAGACTCTCCACCCGCAAGGGCGGGACTGTCATTTACTATAGGAGGGCCCTGCACTGCGTCCCTCTCGATACTCCCTCCCTCTTACATATCGAGGCGTCAGTGTTCCGCATCGCGCTGACGGGACACCAGCCGATCGTCATCGCATCCGTTTATCTCCCCCCTGACAAACCCCTCCTGAGCAGTGACCTCGAGACACTGCTCGGTATGGGGGACGCGGTCATTCTGGCAGGCGATCTAAATTGCCACCACACTAGGTGGAACTGCCATCGCACGAATGTGAACGGTAGGCGTCTCGACGCGTTCATAGACGACCTCACATTCGAGATATTCAACCCCCCGACCCCCACGTGCTATCCGTACAACGCCGCGCGTCGTCCAAGCATAATAGATCTGGCACTACTGAGGAACGTAACTCTGCGCTTGCGCTCCATCGAGGCAATGTCAGAACTCGACTCAGGCCACCGACCTGTCGTCATGCAGCTCGGTCGCCCACTCAACCGCGAACCAGATACGAGGACCATGGTGGATTGGAAGAAGCTGGGCACGTGCTTAGCTGACACCGCTCCACCAATCCTCCCTTGCGACCCGGATTCAACTCCATCCCCCGAGGACACCGTCGAATCCATAAACATCTTCACTGATCACGTCTCGACGGCGATCATAAGATCTTCAAAGCAAGTCGATGTGGAGGACTGCTTCCACCGCATCAGACTTTCCCCCGATCTTAGGGACCTCGTAAGAGTTAGAAACGCGGCAATCCGGGCCTACGATCGATATCCCATGGATTCAAACCGGACTCGGATGCGTCGCTTACAGCGGGAGGTCAAATCCCACTTAAGCGACGCCCGAAACGAAAACTGGGATAGTTATTTAGAAGAGCTCGCGCCCACTCACCAAGCATACTGGCGACTAGCGAGGACCCTCAAGTCCGAAACTATCGCCACTATGCCGCCTCTCGCACGCCCCTCAGGCCAACCACCGGCTTACGATGACGATGACAAGGCAGAGTTGCTGGCCGATGCACTGCAAGAGCAGTGCACCACCAGCACTCAACACGCGGACCCCGAACACACCGAGCTAGTCGACAGGGAGGTCGAGCGCAGAGCTTCCCTGCCGCCCTCGGACGCGTTACCCCCCATTACCAATTCCGAGGTTAAGGAGGCGATCGATAGCCTACAACCACGGAAAGCTCCCGGCTCCGACGGCATCCGCAACCGCGCGCTTAAATTGTTACCAGCCCAACTGATAACGATGTTGGCCACCATATTAAATGCTGCTATGACGAACTGCATCTTTCCCGCGGCGTGGAAAGAAGCGGACGTTATCGGCATACACAAGCCGGGCAAACCGNTCGCCGCACCACCGTCGTCCAGGCCTCATTCATGTTGGCCGGGGCGGGGGGCAGTGGGCGGGGCTGGGGGGTCGGGGCCGGTTTGGCGGCATTGGTCCTCCCCTTCCTTTTTTCTCTGCTCCTGCCAGGCCCCATCTTCGCAGGCTGGGACGGGGCAGGAGTAGACGCCGATTTCTTTGGGGGGGCGGATCTTGTTGCCCCCTTAGCTGCAGACGTAGACGCTCCGGTTGTAGGAGTCCCAGCCGGAACAGCGGCAGAAGTGGCCGACCGTGTCACGGGTGCCGCAGCTTTCTTCGGTCCCGCGTATGTTTTAATAGTAGCCGCTCCTTTGGTCTTTCGAGGTGCCGGCACAGGGGCACCATCTTTCGCCTCGTGAGCGAGGGGCGGTCTTGCGCGCTCAACGGTCGAGCTCCTTGCCTCCTGTATAAGGAGCTGCCGCCTTAGCTCCTCGACCTCAGTGAGGCCTTCCGCTTCAGGCGGAGGAGGGACAGGGGCCGAGCTGCGTTGCCGCTCGATGAGATCGGCAACCATTGTTCGCAGCTCGGCCATGTCGACGCGGAGCTGACCGTTCTCCGCCCGAAGCAGGCCATTCTCGGCCGATACTTGCTCGAGGCGGGTGTGCAGCAGAGCCACTTCCTGCCGCAAGCCCGCCGTCTCCGTCGTCGTGGTGCGGTCCACGACGTCCTGCAGCCTTTCCTCAAGTGTGGCGGCCGCAGATTTCATGGCCGACACTTCTGAGCCCATGAGGCCTGCAGTCGACTTGGCCGCAAGGGTCTCAACAATTTTTCCGGCTATTTTACATGATCGGAGGGGGTCAGAGGGACCCACCAGCGTTAGGGATCGCTGTAGCCGCTCGATCTCTTCTATTTTTCTATTATTTTTTGCCTCACGGCAGGCGGCCCTAGACTGCGCCGAAGAGGCAGCGTCCAGTCCGCAAGACGATGGCTTGTTTAAGTCAATTCCTGCGGCGNTTCCCGATCCTGCGGACAGAATGGAAAGCAGTCGACGTCGCCCAAAACACGTCATCTCGGATCCTCCCGATCCACTAACGGTGCTTTTAGGTACTTCAAGCACCGGTCACCGTTCTCGTCGAACCCGTCGCTTGCGACGAAGGGCTCGACGAGTAAATTAACTCTCAGACACAGCCCACTGAGTTTCTCGCCGGATCTTCTCAGTGGTTCGCGTTTCCGATCCGGTGGTAGATTCTGCGAAGCACGGCTCTTGCTAGGGTTCGTGTTAGCAACGTCACCAGGTTTGAGCCCCGTGAGCTCACCTACTAAAGTTAGGGTTACGCTGACATAGCCGCTAGGGCTATCAGCTTTGGTAGGAAAAAAAAAAAAAAAGGAACGACCTTATTCAGTCAAAGTAAAACGCACAATCTAGCGATTGCTGCTTAGGTTTTAGGATGAGCGAGTATGTGACGGGAAAAAATTCTATCTTCGCTTACACGGGCACCATGAGCATGAAAGTAAATAGTCAGATTATGAAATTATCAATACGCTTAACTATATTTTTAATAATGCATGATCAAAAGATGCTACACTCCATGTGTTTTAAGGCATTTTTTACCAATGCCCAAGCTATAACTACCATCTGAAATTTTGCGTTGCACGTAGTGCGCGTAGAATCCATTACTAGGTTAGACTTAGTTAAGCACGAGTTAGTTTTCGGATAGATAACCCAATAGAGAGTTGCGGTGTTCTAGCTATCTCCAACAAATTTATTGCTTCAATTGGTTCGTACAAAGTTTGCCTTATTTAAGACCGAGAATAGATCTTCTTCGAACCTATTTATATAGCTTTTTAGACGAAACCATCGTTCCATTTGAAATCAAAAGTCATTAATAGTTAAAAAAATAAGTTTTCTAACACTTCAGTCCTATAACAAGTGGTAATCTTATAGAGGACTTTGTGTTTGTTATTTTTAAAACTGGAACGCAACAGTCGTACCTACCACGTACTTACGTAAAGGCCCAAAATAGTCCAAATAACCAGTGTGTAAATGGTAATAACAATACATGCCAAATAAGAATCGTTCTGAGACTGCGCTTGCAATAGCTTATCTTAGAGTTTCCTGACAGCGCACATACATATGTGAATGCAACGAAATATAGCTGTCTGCTGGATATCTACAGATATGGGTTACTTGAACTTTTAGTCAATCTTACTCATTTTATAATCATCATCATCATTCTTTCCTATTACCCTCTGCTGAGGTGTAGGGCTCAAATCAAATCCTTCCATTTATACCGGTCTTGGGCAGAACAGACAGCTCCTCCCACGCCATGCCCAAGAGACCTAGCTTCTGTTCCACCAAGCGAGCTCAAGTAGTTCTGGGGCGGCCTTTATGATAGTCTACAATAATCTTAGTATTTATAACTACGCTTTTTTTCCTGAGACCTACATGAACTTTATGGAAGTTTTTATTTTATTTTTTATTGCTTATATGGGTGGACGAGCTCACAGCCCACTTGGTGTTAAGTGATTACTAGAGCCCATAGACATCCACAACGTAAATGCGCCACCCACCTTGAGATATAACTTCTAAGGTTTTAACAGTACAACGGCTGCCCCATCCTTCAAACCGAACGCATTACTGCTTCACGGCAGAAATAGGCAGGGTGATGGTACTTACCCGTACGGACTCACAAGACATCCTACCACCAGTAAAAATACTCTACTTAAGGAAGAATGCTCTAGAAGCAATGTATAATAATTTTATTATGTACCTTTTTCTAAATTTTCACACATAGTATTTTATGTCATTAAAACAGAATCAACACTAAATTTGCTAAATAAAATATTTCAAATTTCACACATTAGACTTTATTGAAAATCCCCCTGGACCTTTTCAATACACTTAATTACAAAATTATTCAAAATGCGTTTAATGAACCCACCGCGAATTAATCCATTAACCATCCTATAATCCTCTATAACAGCTAATCACCACGTGCTAAGCCATTGCACATTTACACTTAATTAATGAAAATTGTTTAATACCCAAGTCGTAGTAGGTACAAACGGTATCAATTAGTGAATTGTGTGAAATGGCTATTGATTTTCATTAAAATTAGACGTAATTTGAATAACAATGACTGTCGAATATGTGACGAACGGATTAGAGCTAGCTTGATGATGTAGATTATCAAAGGTCATGTGTCTCTGGGCGACCACAATCGTTAAACCAAGCGCAAAGTGTCTTTATCCAACCAAAGAAAGCACTTTATCACAAAAATCGAACAAAACCTGTCTATTGAGATTTGGATGTGGTTTAATTTATCTTTTTTAATATGTCTTGGTTGCTACAGGGTCAGAGCCGCTGGGTTAGTAAATATTTTTTTTTAATAATGCATCGTTAATGACCATCCCGATTTTTTTTATGCTTAGCTGGGTGGACAATATCACGGCCCACCTCATGTTAAATGGTTCCTGGAACCCATAGACATTTATAACGTAAATATCACCACCCACCTTGAGATATGAGTTCTAAGGTCTCAGTATAGTTACTCAGAATTACGGGTGGCAAGTTCAAAGTCAATAGAACCCTTCAAAACCGAATGCTTAGTTACTTTACGGCAAACAAACAGATTTGTGGTGAACCTATTTATGATTATGTAAATTAATAAAATTTGCAGATTTATTACACGTTGATATTCCTTTAATTCGGAAGTCGTCCATGAACAAGTCTTATCCGCGTATTCACTAACTCAAGCCAGAACCCGTCATAATTGGGTCAATCCATACGAACACACCGGTCGTTTGCCCATTTATCCATACTTCAAAAGTCTTTACACAGAAACATGATTCTAACACTTTTAAATATTTAATCGTAAAATACAGTTTACATTTGATAGCGTCGGTAGGAGCACTGGATAGTGGCCAAGCATTTAATGGTTTGTATTCAAGCCAAAGCGTTTATCTGAACTGGTAGTCTTCGTATTAACTGCTAGAACGTATTACTTTTGCCTCAACATTGTTAATTCGTAGCCAATCTTATTAATAGACATAATGGACGCTTAAGTATGCTTAAAAACACCTTTAAAATTTCTTATCTTCTACCTACGCAAAAAAGCAACGCTGCTTTTTTTTTATTACATTATTAATATCCATTAACGTGGGATTCACAGGTCATCGATTTTAGAGCTTAGCAAGAACGAAAATCTGATAGTTCCTCAGAATGATCCTCTATGTCGGTAAATAATAAAATAATAATAAAATAAAAATAATCCCATAGAGGTAACATTTGAAGAGAATAATTTTCTTTAACATTACTTTTACACAATGATCTATTTGTGTATGCTAAAGATTATGTAGCAGTCCAGTGGGCAGTGCTGGTGGAATCGCAACGGGTTAAATATCATTCAAAAAGTACAATTTGAATGATATTGTACATTTCTTAAATTATTACAGCTTATTTTAATGAATGACATATTATTCTAAAATAAAGTTAATTCTTATTTAATTGGTCGTTGTTAATTTTAATTGCTCTACTTCCAATATTATGAAATTGTATGTCTGATTCGAATGCAGTAACAGAATTGAAATAAAATTCGTTGGTTTGACAGAAAAATAGTACATTCAATTTTACGACAAATACGTTTTGTTCGATCGTATCATTAGTGGAGCCAAAGCCGTGTTTGAAAAGCATTTGCCGACATCTGGTGTCTGGATTTAGTTGAAAGGTATCAATAGAAGTCGAAGACCTTTCATTAATAATGCACCTTAAGGTTGAAGGTACACCCTGTTTGAACGTTGAAGTCATTATCCATTCCAAATTTTTTTATACGCGTGTATGTATATCTATTTCAATTTGGTTTCTATAATGCACGTAATCTGTTTTAGGGCTAGATGTTCGTGTGTAATTTGTTTCCGGATTATCTATTGTAAATGCTTATCTTTTGATTGTATTAGTATTTCTTAAAATTGTGATTTTGTCCCACACTTTTAACTTCGACTGCTTGTGCGACAATCATTACATAGTATAAAACAAAGTAGCTTTATCTGTCCCTATATCCCTATGTATGCTTAAATCTTTAAATCTTCGCAACGGATTTTGATGCAATTTTTTTTAATAGATAGAGTGATAGAAGAGGAATGTTTATATGTATAATAACATCCATTAAATAGTGGAGAAATCAATAATAAATTACAGTTTCCGAAGCGAAGCGAGGGCGATTCAGTAGTAATATTATATCAGTAACCTGTAAGAACATTTCATGTGATTATGTTAGTCGTTTCTTTTATTCATAGATTGAACGATTGCTCTCTAATTGTATTAGGATCAAACTCGATTCGGCAACAGGAGTTTGCACGGGTGACAATTATAGCGTCTAGTGTTTTCAGAGTGTGTTGAATTCGAAAATGTTCACTGACGTTTCTAGTTTTAGATTTATTTTATGTATACCATTTTTACTATTTTTTTCTTCGTTTTTCTTGGAGCATATTGACCCGTTTAACTATTTCGAGGTCAGGTATACTTTAGCTACAGGACAGGTAGAAGAAAATATAGGGGAATCGATCGATTACTTATCACCAAAAAATCGATTAAAATTAGACTCGTAAGAGCGCTCGTACAGTTTCCGAAGCGAAGCGAGGGCGGGTCGCTAGTAATAACATAAGTTAGAGTCACCATCGTACTTATTTCCATCACAAATCTCGCAAAGAGTAAGTAAAGAGTAGCAGTTGAGTAGTAGTGGTAGTGAGGTTTCCGTCTTATGTTCAGTATTGAAAAGCGGCATCGAGTGTAGTGTGTTTGATGTCGTTTATCTACTTATGACAATTTTATTTATTTTTAAACAGAAAATAAGCGTTATCATACTACACACAAAACAAAGAAGTTACAAAGTCAGAAGGATGATAATACTGCAGTCCGAAACAATATTTAATCAGTTTGTTTATTTTGGCTAAGCCATCTATATATTAATACGTGAAGCAAAAACTTT